GGTTGCTAGGCAGCGCAGGTAAACAGTGGTTGCGAGAGATGATGGTAATAACAGCGGTACACAACGTTGCTAGCACGACTGTGGCAGACAACAGTGGTGCCTATTACGTGGCCGTTTTCTGTGTTGTCCGGAACAAGGCTAGATACGGAGCAGCGAAGACTATTCACGGTCAGTTCCGAGAGAGTTCTCAAGGCACCTACCTACGAGTTAGTTCCGAGTTAGCCAGCAACCAGTCAATTGTATTCTGGCTTTTGCAGTGTAGTACTGGTGGTACTGCCGATCACAGTAATTGTCAGATTGTAAATTGTGTGATTGTAAGTGCGGAAGTGGAATAAATTCGCTATAACCAACAAGGCGTGAAGTTATTTGTCACGTTATACACCCAACACGTGACAATACTATGGCTGCTTTACCCCTTAGAAAAGAATCCCCAGTATCCACTAGACAAGAAGTTATGTGGTCCATGGGGTTGGTTTACATAACACAGCAAAAAAAAAAAATACACACCTCTCCCAGAAATTTGTACTCTGAGTGTCCAATCTGTAAGTGAGCCCTCCTGACTCAGTACATGTGTAACCATACAGATGCATACCTTGAATTTAACAGTTTCCCTCGAATGTATGGGAGGCTTCCCGTGAAGTCACATGCTTCTACTGTAAATGTCACCTGGTCTCCTATGTTTACTGAAGTCCCAGGCCACTTTTCATCTGTCTCATCCATGGATCGTGGAACAGACACGTGGAAACACTTGTGAACCAGGCAACCAATATGGTCCACACTTTTCTTGTTTACAGTGCCTATATACAAATTAAAATATTACCTCATGGACATTCTCTGATGGCTGCAAGATATCTTCACATTCAGATGGTGCTATGGCTATGAAAATTTGCCACAAAAAAGTAAGAATAGTTTAATTGTTGGACAACAGATGCTACATTCATTTAAAGATGTACTCCGATATGCTCTTTGAATACACTCATCCCCCACTAACTAATGATCTGATCCATTAACACTCCCTCAATTTGTCCAAATATCAAAATGTGTACTGTTTCCCATTCAACTGATGATTGCCGTTGTTTATGCACACTGGTAACATTTACAAGCTCAGTGATGGCTAGCCATTCTGGTAGTGTGGCTGTGCAATCTTATCAACATTCACTGATTTTCATCACATTTTGAAACTGAACAAAACTGGTGAAATTATGGGCCCCAAAAATGAAAAGCAAAGCAAACCAACCAACAAATCGCTGATATCATTTCATGGAACCAGTTACCATCAGTTAATGGGAGGATGACTGTAAAATTGGAGAACAAACTCCATACAAGAAGTCTGACTATACAGACCAAGTATTATGGTATTAACAAATCAAAACTCTGCTGTAGGGGTCAGAGTACTGCTTTTGACTTTACAGCGGCCCGGGTTCAATCCTGGGTCTGGTCAAGTGGGATTTGTGGTGGACAAAGTGACACTGGGGTGGGTTTTCTCAGATTACTTCGGTTTCCCTTGCCAATCTTCATTCCACCAAATTCTCCATCATCATAATCACCCGGGCCAGGCTACAATAGGCCAATCAGTGGCCGCCGTGCAGAGTGGACCCAGTTGGACTCCACGCCCCACTAAGCGAATTAAAAAAAATAAATAGCTTGGGGAATTTCTCCCCCACCCTTCTCCAGTAAGAAAAGTGCACATATTGATAGAGCAAGATGAGAAGCCAAGTCGTACTCATATCTGATGGATTTACTGTGCAGTGCAGAATTATTATGCCCATTTCTTTTCTCCTGTCACAAAATAATGTCACTTTAAGAATGTCTCCCATTGTGAACAACTATATTGAACACATTAATTTGCCGTCTTTCATATCATTCACTCTGATTCTGACAATAATGTAAATGGCAAAATATGGTGGGTAGATCAGGGAAAGAGAAGTGTGGCCTGGCAGAGGAGGAACAGATTCTTCCTAAGAGCAGAGGTGAAACTTGAATTTCAGCTTACAGTTTACATATTTTCTGAGGGCTACAAAAAAGGTGCAACGGATACATTATATTACATAGATTCATGAAGTGCATCCAATGAACATACAACTGGAGGTGGTTGGGGACACTCATGTCTGGACATGTGCTCTCACGTTTCAGCTCCAAATTACTGGATAAATCAATTCCAAGCTGTTCTAATAATGGTATGTTATACTAAGGATTACGGTTCCTTAACTTCATCCAATGTCCATTATTCCAAACAGAATGTCATTTTTCGGCACTTGAAACTTACATGAAACCTTAAAAAATTTGTCTTGAAAGTTGTGGTCTACATGAGACAATGCCTGGTCTTAATGGTGGTCAGACTATACACCAGGAAACTTGTCTCCCATGCCACAACTTCAGTGATATTTTCATCTTAATATCAAATTATAAAATAATAATAATAAAAAAACTATGAAATTCCACCTACTGAAAAGTTACTTACCTAATAATATACATCCTACTTCTGGTGTAAATATATAAAATTCAGCTTCAATATCAAGATGCATGTAAGAATCATCATTTATTATTGTTGCTCTATCTGTAAGTATCTTCACATTCTTGTAGCCCAAGATAAATCCTTTGAAGCTGCAATTTAATAAAGGTTAAGTTAACTGAAATAAGGAAGGATAATTCATAAAAATTAATTACATTAATTGCCCTTCTTTCATGTCAAAATGGGATAGGCCAGCATGAACTATAATGATTTGTTTCTGTGAACAATTTTTCACACAGAATTTGCAGATATTAGGGTAATCAAATGAAGGATGATGATATCAGGAGGACATGGGAGAGATGAGAAATTCATACAAAATTTCAGATATAAATCCTGAATACATGAAACAACTTGCAAGACCTAGGCGAATATGTGAAGGTAATATTAAATTTGTCAAAATCAAAGTTATGTTACAACAGACAGTTGGTCAGTCAGTCTGTCTTGGAATAAAGCACACATCTGGGGCTTGAGACCAGATCTTTATTACTGTCAGACAGTTACAGGCTTGTTGATGTGGGGCACTCTGACGAGAGGAGGGGTCTATCACTTGCCAGTCAGCAGTAATTAGTCAGTTGTCAGTATATACAATTTTCATTTTACATGTTATTAAATGTATATACAATATATACAAGGTCTCTATCAGTCCAGGCTCAGTACAGCAGATCATGCCCTATCCTTAGTAGCTCCTGTTACAATGTCAGTTTAGTCACTTGAAGGTTCATATCCTTCACTGCCTCCAAGTTTAAGCCTCTCATATCCTGTGTCAGGGTTTGCCTTGTCCAATGTTGTGAACATTTACATTTTCATGATTTTGTATGACCTCTGCTTGTTTCATGCATAATTTTGTTATATATGTACAGAAGTTTGAAAGCCGTGTGCAAATCACAAATTTAAATTTGGTTTTGAACGTGAGTGTGACGGTTGAACTAGTTCCATCTGGCTCAGCTCGCTAAAGAAATTCACATGTCTATCAGAAATGCTTCATGAGTTATCACTATCAGACAAAGTAGAAGTTCTAGAACACAAAAGTACTGCAATAAAAAATAAGTATTTTTCAAAGGCACATTATGACACCAACTTTCAGAGCCCCACAACAAGTGCTATTCTCACAGCAGCCATGCTGATATTACTGAAGTCTGACTCTACAGACCAGACTCTGTGCGGAGCCCAAAACAGGCTCAGCTAGTTTGAAGAACACCAGTAATAAAGTTCCAGTGACAGGAAAGTACAATGTCAGATGGCCCTAGCTCTATGCTCATTTACTTACTTACTTATGGAGCTGAGCCTTTCTGGAGGAGCCGCCAATTCTGCAGCTACTCAAGAATTTCCCAGCATTTTATGGAACCAGAAGGTTCATTACCATGTTCACAAGAGCCTTCCACTGGCCCCTATCCTGAGCCAGATCTATCCAATCCATACCATCCAATCCTATCTCTCTAAGATCCATTTTTATATTGTTCACCCACCTACACCTGGTCTTCCCAGTGGTCTCTTTCTCACCAATATCCTATACGCATTCGTCTCCCCCATTCGTACTACATGACCTGCCCACCTCATCCTCCTTGACTTGATCATTCTAATTATACTTGGAGAAGAGTACAAATTATGAAGCTCCCCATTATGCAGTTTTCTTTAACCTCCTGTCACTTCATCCCTCTT